GAACTCGCTGGGTCCCGGTGTTGCCCGGCTCGGGGGGATGCTCCGGGGAGGGCACGGGCAGCGCGCAGGACCCCGCATGGATGCTTCTCTCTTTTTTTTTTTTTTTCAGATCATTGTTGTTTGCTTGGGATTTGCATGAGGGTTGCAGGGTGCTTTGGGTGGCTTGCAAGGGCTTCCTCCTCCTGCCCGCCGGGTCCTGCCAAGGGCAGAGCAGCACCGGTCCCGCCTGGGCAGCCAGCGCCGCCAACTCCCGAGAGGGGCTCCAGGGACACCCCTGGGGCGACGGCAGCTCCCGAACTCCCCACAGCCCTGGTGAGGCTGGGTTGCATCACCTGAAGGCCTTTAGAAAGCCAGAGGGACTTTCTCCCCTGGCCCTTCTGCCTATTTCTAGTTTCTGCTGAAGTGGCTGGTCAGGCTGGTGTACAACAGGACAGTGGCTTAGGGGTGAGATGTGCCTGGGGATGACTGCGCTTGTGCCAGGGCTTGACGGTGTAAAACTTTGCCTTCCAGGGCCCTCTGAGTTGGTCTGGTCCCTCCTTTCAGTGTAGAGATTCATCATTTGAAGTTATGCGCTCGGCCTGGAAGAACCGCACTGCTGGCACCTCGGGGACCCTGTGAACTGGAACAGGAGAGGAGGTAAAACTGCTCTGTCCACCCAGCACCCTGCCGAAACCCTGGGAGGTCCTGCCACTGTTTCTTTGAGTGGGTTACTCAAAGCTCCCCCTCCATGGGGATTTTTGGTTTGGTTTGTTGTTTTGGTGTAGTTGGGAACTGTCAGTGTTAGGTTAATGGTTGGACTGGATGATCTTCAAGGGCTTTTCCAACCTAGACGATTCTGTGAGAGGAGTGGAGAAGGACCATGGTTGCAACGCTGGGCATCTGGGCCTGTGCTTCTAAAGAGGGATTGTGCTCCTAAACCACCCGGGCTCCTCCAAAACACTCATTGCTCCTACCCTGGGGCCCTTGGCCATCACGTTTGCACAGACACATGGTGGTGTGCTGCCAGGAGATGTGCTTAGATGGGGTAGTGAGCATTCTTGGACCTCTCCTCTTGAGTTCCTCACTGTTGCTTCACAGTGCCTCTCCGTTGCTGTAACGCTGCAGTGCAGCCCGGGGTGACCGTTGAATAACTTATTTCTAACAAAGTTGCATAATTCTTGCAGAGATGCTCCAGCCAGTTGACATGCATTTGAGGAGGGTGTAGGTTTGCCTGTTGGTGTCTGCTGTCTCACTCCATGCAAGGTGACCATTCCCTCTGTGCTGTCGAGTGGGACAAATCAGTCCTGGGGGGTGCAGGATGTGGTTAAAATTGATTCCTTCCTCGCCTGCAAGCCCCTCAGGGGTGCCATGGTTGCTTGACTGCAGGGTTACCTCTTCTGGCTGCTCCTCCTGACCTCTTTCTGTCTGTCCCTTCTTCTCCTGGACTGGTGTGAGCCCCCCTCATGCACCTTCATGGCAGGGTGCTCTTGTCCAACCTCCTCTTGTCCTTCCTCCTTGGAGCTAAATGTCCCATCTCTTCAAGATGAGGATGTTGCTGGCTAATGCTCTTCCTCTTCCTCCTCTCCCGGGGCAGACAGAGAAACCCAGTGATGGTTGCCTATCTGCTGGCCTTGCTGAATCAGGCTGTCTGGGATGCCCGGGGCAGGGCTGCCCTCCCTGCCCTTCTCCAGCCCAAAGGCCAGCAGGGCCACTCCCCTCCCCTCCTGGCACACCCGTGCGTTGGTGCCCTCACTTGCCCTTGGCCTGTTTCCCTGCCCGTGGATGCCAGCGAGGTGGTGGGATAAGAGTTGGAGACTTGTGCCTGGCTCAGCGCTCCGCTTCCCCGTGCGAGCGGAGAGCGGGGGCTGGCCGAGGGGAACTGAGGACCCTGCTGCTGCGGGGAGCCCCTGCTGTGCTCCCTGACTCCCAGCAATTACAGGTTGGAATCCCAGCTGGCTCCGTCACTGCAGAGAGGAGGAGAGGTTATTCCTAAAGGGAAAATGGCATCCCAGACCTGATTTTTGTTAAAGGGAAAACCAGAAAGGCCTGGAGAATCCACTTGCTGCTGGGTCCAGGGTCTGGGCTTGGGGTGTGACTCGATGGATCCCTGCATCCATCAATGCCCACAGATGCTTGTGATGCTTCGGGGGGGTGACCTGGCAAGGGACCTGCTGTGCATCCACTCCAGGGTCCCATCGGGAAGACAAGAGCAGGTTTGTGAGCAGATTTGTGCCCTGTTACACCGGGTCCTGGTGGCATTTGGCACACAAGACCCTGGGGCAGGAGAGGGATGGCACTGCAGCGGGGCAGTTCCCTGGCTGGGACAGCGGGAAGGAGGGTGGCAGAGAAGTCAGACACAGCCTGTAAATCCCTCCTGCGTGGTCGTGGCTGCCACGCTGGGTCTGAAGCACTGCCTGCCCAGGAGCTCCCCTGCACAGCAAATGGAAAATGCATATTTGAGGTTGAATCTCCAGCCAGGGATGGCAGCCGTAACAGGGTGTTTTGGCATCATCTGGTTGAGGGGGGGTTTCAAAGCCCACTGGAATTTTTATGAGGTGTTTTGCTTAATACACCACTTAAGCAATTAGCAGTGATTGTAGCAGTCCTGGGTAAGGCACTGGGTAGAATTGAATTTCCCAAGCTCAGATACCATTAGGCAGCAGTTTAATGCTGTTTGCAGGCGGGTATGAGACAGTGATGTGTATGGGGAATTAGATCTGCAAAGTGAAAAAAAAAAACATAATAAGAAAATTTTGTACAGACCTATGTAACTTTATCCCATGTTTATGTGCCATAATTGAAAAACAGTCTTGGGGGGTTCTCTGCGCTAAGGAAGGGGGATCCTCGGCGGTGAGCCAGGACGGGGACACACAGTGATGGCTGTGCTGTACCACATCGGGATGGGCTTTGCCGCCTGCACCACTGACCCACGCAGCTCACTCCCCCAAAACACCTGAGGAGCCCCTAAATGGCATTGTGATCCACAGGGCAGGAGCGTTCTCTTTAAAAGAGTTTGCACTTCTTTTGGGAACTGCAGTTGGGTTTATGTTGCGGGGCTTTTTCTTAAAATCCCCTGAGTTTCAGGTACGTTCAGGGTGGTGAGCAAGCAGGTAAATCTCCCGTTATTTGGCACATCTGAGCCCAGGAAGGGCCTGTCCTGAGGTACCAGGTCAGTGGTTAATGTGTAACGTGTGTGTGTGACACCGTGCACCCTGCTCCCGCATGGCACCAGCAGCGGTCCAGCCTGGAGGTGGATGTGCAAATAGTTTTACAAGGGTGGGAAGCTGAGAGGAGGAGGAGGAGGGTTTTGTTGTGGGCTGAGGGGCGGAAGGAAATCTAGGCTTAGCGAGGGAAATGTGAGATTGCTTGGTTGGGGACAGGGCTTCGACCACTCCTCTTGGGAGGCGCTGCTATTGTGGTGGTTAAAAATAGACTTTGGACTGGTTACTTCTCTGCAGGAAGCTCCCTGGCCGGAGACAGGCAGGTGAGGTGGCACCCAAATGAGAAGGAAGGACAGCAGCCTCTTGACCTCCTTTACCAAATTATTTTTTTTTTTCCCCAAGAAATAGCCAGTTGTTCTGGGGCACTGAGGGGGTTGTCTCTGCTTTATTTCCAGACACAGCACGCTGCCTCCAAGCCCCAGGCTGCATTCATGATGCCCAGCTGTAGCGATGCTTTGAACAGCATCACACTGCTGCAAACCAGGGACCCCCCCTCCATGGGTGAGGCTGGGACCCCTCGGGTCCCACACCGGTGTACCTGGATCAGCGGTGTGCTGAGTGGCTTGGGTGATGCTCCAGCTCCACGCGTGGGCTGGCAGTGCGGCTTCCTGCAAGCTGGATGGAATTACCCGAGGAAGAGATTATCTAAGATCCTGTGGATCTTGTCTATTAACTTGTCTTTATTTTCCAGCAGCTGTCAGCACAGGAGGTAAAATGTACACTGGGGGAGATTTTGAAGGGGAGGGAAAGAAACAACACTGTGATATGAAGTTGGTCAAATTAGTGGGAAATGGAGAAAATCTGTTTTTGCTGGGGGACTGCCATGGGCCTGAGCTCTGCCTGGCTAATCTTGGCAGACTGGCTGTATGTGGGAAAGAAGAGTGTCTGTGTCCCCACTCCAGCACCGAGGGGCACTGGCTGGGAGCGGGTCCCTGGCGCAGCGTGAGCAGTGCCACGGGCTGGGGGCTCAGTAAATCAGTGGCAGGATGCAGCCTCCAAAGCCTGGTTTATCTGCAGGAGCGTTGATTCCTCTGGGGTTGGCACCAGGGTGCAGAACTAGGGGACTGCACGCAGAGCTGTGAGGAGACCGTCATATGTGCAAGGTGAGGGGGGAAAAGGGTCATTTCTTGCCCATTTTTGTTTTTTGAAGATGTCTCCCTTCAGTGTCTGTGCCCCAAAACCCTGCCCTGGAAAACAGCCATCCAACGCTTCTGGGTTCTTTGGGGGCATCTGTTACAGGAGCTGCCCCAGCTAATGCTGCGGCTGGACAAACCCCTCATCAGGCAGCGGAAAAAGACCTGAGAAGCGTTTTCACTCTTCACAGATGTTTTCTAGGCTGCAGGTGACAGGAGGGCCCTGTAGTGTGTCTGGGCAGAGAGTCAAAGCATGCATTTAATGGGGGATTGGTTCAAGGAAGGTGGTTTGACCATTCAATTTGAGGCCAAAATGCTGTTCAATTAATATTTTAGTGGGATGGACAGTAAATGAGAGGAAGAAAGATTTTTTCCATTTCTATCTGATTCAGACAGCCAGTCTAAGATCTATAGGGTATAAATAGTGCATGGAGCAATGAGGAGTGCAGAGAGCAGTCAGCTTATCCCATCCTGGGGTTGTGATGGGGATATAAGTGGGCCTGAAGGGATGTGTAACACACAAGGGCAGATAACTTTTGCTTTTTTCCCCCATGACTTTATTCTCTTCTGCAGCTCAGCCTCTGTGTGTGGTTGAAGTTTGATGGGTCTTGAGGACTGGGACCCTTCCCAGCCCCTCAAGGTGGCAGAGGAAGCTCCTGGGAGGATGTCGTTTGGTCTTTGCATGCTTCAGGTGTATGCTGTGGAAGGGGGGACCATCGGCTCCGTGGCCAATGTGTCCCCCATCCCTTTGGGCTTGTGCAGTAAGAGCAAAGACGATGCACTTGCTTCCCTTCTGCCATCAGCTCTGAGCCCTGCATGCTGCTGGCTCTGCCCTGCTGTCCCCGAGGGCAGTCCCCATCCCGGTTTTAGCTATTTTCCCATCTGCCCGGGACAGGCAGTGCCTTGGGGCCACGCAGGCAGGCACCGAGCTCCCTTGTGAGCTGCCAGAGGGGCTGCCCGCCTGCCAGGACCCGCCTGCCTGCCAGGAGTGTCACCTCGCAGCCTGCTGCCGGGGGGCCGCCGAGGTGTCGCCTTGCTCTGGGACCTGCTCGTGACTTGGGGATCTCCCTGGCCCAGCACGCTGAGGTCAGGCGCTTTTCTGGGGGAGCAGGTGCCTGGGTTTCCTCACGCCGTTCCCGCGGGATTGCCAGCCGGGGCTTTGGGTGGCGTTGGTCTTGCTGGACCGAGGCAGCCGGGACCAAGCTGGGGACTTCCTTGCCCCTGAGCCTGGGCTTTGCTGCAGGCTCTTCCCCCTCTTTCCCTGGTTTAGCTCTGGGAGCTCTCCCACACAGGCGGAGATGGAGGGATACAGATTTGCTTCTCACAACCTCTATCACACAGTATCTTTTACCGCTGAATTTCAGATCACTTTGGCCCAGGCTGGCTGCGCTGTGCGGGGTGGAAGGGGAACATCTCTTTATTAGGGTTGTTTCCTTAAATAAAGCCCTCGGAGCAAGTGCTGTGCTGGCCGTTTCAGATATCCCATGACCAGCATTGTGTGTTCGGGTTATTAACACCTCATTAGATGTTGGTTCCTCCCCACTTCTCTGGTTCAGCAAATCCCAGTGGTTTTGTCATCACTCCCTGACTCCTACTTCACCAAAGACCTTTTTGTCATTGTCTCTTAGGCTTCTGCTGACCGTTTAAATTTCATTTCTTCTTGAGGTCAGTAGCTTACTTCAACTTTCAGATCTTTCGACTTGTGTGTGCCGACACACATCCCCAGTGCAGGGGATGCATCAGCACAGCTTATCAGGAGAGATTGTTGTAACATCGCTGCCAGCGCCTGGCTTTTGCCTGTGATTGCAGCCTGGATTTCCAGTTGGCCAATCCCTAGAAATCCTTCGTTCCTTCCTTCCTTTTTAAACCTTAACTCGTTTCCCATGTGACAGCAACAGCAGGGCACAGCTCTGCCCTGGGAGGTGTTTGGGGGACTCGTGCAGGTGGGTTAGAAACCTATCACCAGCCCATCACCACTCTGTGGCTTCCCTTTGACAAACAAATCCTATTTTATATATACATGTCTCTGTGCTCTCGTGTAACACAGGCCAGGGACTCGAGGCTGTGGCCCCTGAGCCAGCTCTGGAGTCAGCAGGTAGCCCCTCCAAAGGACTCAGGAGCACACTGCAACCCTCAGTAAGCTGGGCTGGAAGCGGATGGCCCTTGCTTTCCAAAAAGCAATCGCAGATTTGCTGCTTATTTTCATCTTGAGCTTATTTTCGTCTTTGCTTCCACCGCTCTGCCCGGGGATGCTGTCTGTGGCATGATAAGTTATTTCAAGAAGTGGGGCAGTGCTGTTGGTATGGAGGGGAGTGGAGGCACCGAGATTAAAGGTAAATCTACACAGATAATTGGGAGCCTGCTTTCTGCAGAAATCAGGTGAATGTGTACGTGCTGGGGTGGGTGCTGGGGCAGTGATGGCTCTCTGGTCCTGGGGGGCTGCCCCCAGCCACCCTACCAGCTCCCAGTCTCCACTGTGGGGTCCCAGCCAGGGGCTCACAGACCTGTTCTGGGGCAGGGGGGGGCTGGAGATGCAACACAGGGTTAGCAATCCCCCCTGCTCCCTCAGACCTGCCAGATGTCTCTCCTCTAGGCTTCATTTTTATAAATTGGCCTTTTAAAGTCTGTCATCCCCGTGCAGATGAAAGGAAGATGCTGTGATGCCTCTGCGTGCGTGTCTCCGAGCCTGGAGCCTGGATGTGGTGCTTGGGTGGCGAGGCTTTTTGTTTGGGGCTTTATCTTTTTCGAAGTGCCTTTTTTTTTCCCCTTCTTTTTTTTTTCCCCTTATCTGTTTGAGTCCATTGCATCTCAGCTTGCCATCCCTCCGTTTCAGGCAGGCAGGCCCTGCTCAGTAGCACTGGTCCCTCCTGGAGAGATTGATGGGGAGAAGCATTCTCCCCCAGTCTGTGTGGGGAGACACCCCAGGGCTTAACCCCCAGGGCAAAGCTGAGCTCATCCCTTCTGGCATATGCAATTAAACCCATCACTGTGGAGCTTTCTCTTCCCTCCCCCCTCGAAGCCCATTACTGCTCTTTTCTTTTTGCATCCTTTCCCTCTCCCTTGCTCTCACCATGACCACTTGGATCAGCAGGTAATCATCTCCCCTTTCTTCCCCAAGCCCAAATACTCTCGGCCCGTGGCTTTGGTGCCAGGGCAGCTCCGGGGGTGGTGGCAGGGAGCTGGGGGTGTGAATTTTAAAGCCGAAGGGCAGTAGTCGCTGCTGCAAGCGGAGTCTTTAAATTCTCTGCTTGGTGATGGATGGATAAGTAGGAATTGCATTTGCTGGGCGGGTAACAAATAGCTTTGCATTTTCTGTTGCTTTCCCGCTGTCTCCTGGGGAAATTCAGACACTGCTCCTAAACTGCAGGGATGTTTGGGTTTTGTTTTTTTTTTCCCCAGCTGGCATGGATCCCTGTGAGCAGGACTGCTCAGGTCTCAGGGAAAGCCCTGCGATGCTGGGGAGAGCCTCGACAGGGATTTCTGCAGGGGCCAGAGCTCTGCTGGGGCTGGGGCCAGTGCTGTGGGATGTGGGGGGCCAGTGTGGGTCTCCAAAGGCCATGTGTGTACCCTCTCCTTACTGCCTCTCTGGCACAGCTGGAGCACTGAGCAGCATCCCTGTCTCGAAAGGTGGGAGGATGCCACATGTGTGGGGCAGAGATGTTGCTGAGGGGAAAGCTGCGTGGTCCTTACAAGATAGCAGAGAATCCAAGCTCCCCTGGTTCTGGCTCTCAAGCAACTCGAGGTTTTCTCTTTCCATCGAGCACTTTTGTTGCCTGTGTGAGTTTCTCCCTGTTTGAGGGGGGTTAAGAGCCACTTCCAGGGATGGAGGTACTCACAGAGAGCTCAGATGATTTGTGCTGGTGGGTCAGACAGTGCCTCATCTCCATAGGGATGTGCTGGGGAAATGGGAACCAGCACTGGATCACAGCCTTCGGGGCTTGGTCCCACCTGGGGTCTGGTGACCGACATGGTTGGGGTCTGGAGGACAAGGAGCGGGTTATCCCAGTCCCCAGTGCCTGCCCCAGTCCCACGGCTTGTGCAGTTCATCCGAGCAGTAATTAATTATTGGCCATGTAAGCTGCTGGCGGGTTACTGCGTGTGATTTATTAGCAGGAGTAATCCCTCGCCAGCAAAAGAGCTGCTCTGTGAATGGAGAACAGCAAAATCCAGGGGAACTGTCCTGTTCTTCCAGAAGTCTGGCTCCCCAGGCATGGTCCCTGGCTGTCGAGTGCCAGGCAGGGGCCTGGAGCATGGCAGCACTGACACCTCTGGGCTCTGTCTTTGAGCCAGCTGAGGTGGATTAACCAAACTGCTGCCCTCGGGGGGAAGGAGGGGTGTCTGGACACACAGACTGTGTGGCTGGGGACATGGGCCCAGTTGCTCACTGGGCACAGCTCACAGTCACCAGCAGGCACAAGCAGACTCAGCACTGGGAGATGATATTTGCGATGCGGTGGCTGCTGGGGTCCCCCCAGGAGGTGGTTCAGGCTGCCCAAAGCTAGGTACGGGTTTGGGAAGAGCAGCATTAGCACAAAGCCAAGGGTGCACATGTGGCTTCTGGGGGATTTTTCCCCCTGTACCTTACTTGTTGGCTGCTGCTGAGGACTGTCCTGGGGTTATCAGTCACGCCACAGCGTCTGATGGTCAGCACGGAGGGCGAGGGGCAGGGGCTGATGGAGATGTGATGGGACAGGGAGGGCTCAGCCGTGGCTGGGGGACACGAGAGCAGCACCTGCCCCAGGTGAGATGTTACCAGCCGAGGAGGGTCTGGGCTATAAAGCACAGGAATGAGCAGCTCTGGCAGAGCATGTTGGGCTCGTCTTTGCTAACCAAAGAAACAAGGTCCATGTCTCTTCAAAAACAATAACAAAATTCATGTGGGAAAGGATCAGGGCAGAAATAGGGATGGAGGAGAGGGACCAGCTGCTGGGTGCGGAGGGGAGGGTGCTGCCCTGTGTGCCCATGTGCTGCTGGGATGCCCAGTACTCCCTCACCCCATGGGAGAGCTGCTGCTGTACCCAGGTAAAACACACAGGCAAGAGAAATCCTGGTGGTGAATCCCCCTGGGCTCCTCCGGTCAGGGACTCCTTAGTGGTTTTATGAGAAATCAATAATGCTTTTGCATGGTCATAATCGTAAAATAAGTACAATTTATGGCAGATGCCTGGGCCAAGACTTGCCGGTGTACAAGGTGGAGGGGGAACAGCACAAAAACTCTTTCCCATGGTGTTTCCCTTTGCACTGGGGCTGCAAACCTGCTCTTACATCGTGGTGGGAGGAGACCCAGACCCCAGTATGGGGGGGCAGGGGTGGGCACAGTCACACAGGGTGGGTTGGCCATGCCTGCGCTCATGCTGTCCTGTTGCCCCCACAGCCTGCCGGCAGGTGGAATGGGGCAGCCATGAACGGCGATGCCCTGTGCCAGGAGCCCTCCTCCCCGCTCCCTGACTGGAGGGAGTTCTGCGAGCTGCATGCCCAGGCAGCCGCCGTTGACTTCGCCCAGAAGTTCTGCCAGTTCCTGAAGGAAAACCCCCACTACGACACCCCCGGGGCAGAGACCTCCTTCTCCCACCATTTTGCTGCCAACTTCTTGGACATCTTCAGCCTGGAGGTCAGCCGGGTGTTTGTGTCTGACTCCCCCACCAAGTACAACATTGTGCCCTTCGTGGGGCTGCAGAACTGCCACGTTCCCTACGGGCGTGAGGTCAACCCAAGGAAGGAGGAGACATCCACTGAGTCCCTGGATAGCATGGACACCCCATTGGGTGCCGGGCGGTACCTGAGTCCGGCACAGCAGGTGCAGGCACGCAAGGTGTCCTCCTATGGCCAGTCTCGCAGCTCAGAGGATGTCTCCATCCATGCTGCCACCAAGCCCAAGTTCAAGAAAGGCTTCTCCTTGAGGAACATGAGTTTGTGTGTGGTGGATGGCATGAAGGAGATGTGGCATCGCAAGTCCTCTCCGGAGCCGGGTGCTGAGGCTGCCCCGGGCGGCCGGAGAGCCGAGAGGGAGCCGTGGCCCTCCGGGGGCAAGGAGCCTGGTGATCCACGGGAGAAATGGACTCACAAGCTGCGACTGTCCAAGGTGCCCTCCTCCAAGGTGGAGCTGGTAGACATCCAGCGAGAGGGGACGCTCCGCTACATGGTGGCCGATGACACGAACTGTGTGGGGAGCTCACAGTGGCAGAAATGCCGCCTCCTGCTCCGGAAAGCGGTGAAGGTGGAAGGAGAGAGGTTCCTCCTCGAGTTTTATGTCCCTCCAAAGGTAAGTCCTGGCTCTTCTCCACTGTTGTTTTTCTGAGCAATTCAAGCAGCAGTTGGGCTTTGCTTGAGGATTTTGTTATTTCCACTGATGAGCTGGGATGAAATCCAGCTGTGCTCCAGAGCAGGGTTCAGTGGTGGCTGAGATGCAAACAGAGGGGATGGTGTGGTTGAAACCCAACCTGCAAAGCCCCAGTTGCTGCTCTTCCCTGGGGCATAGCCCCTCCTTCCCCACAGCCCTTGGGACATATGCTGAGGCCTCTGCCTGGTCCTTCAGCCCCCAAATATCATCAGTCTTGGTGGAAAAGCTTACTCCCTCATCAAGATGTGGGGTGTCCAGGCTATCCAGATGTGTTTTGCTCTTCTACCATGTTGCAGAGATGTGTCAGACTGGTGGCTCACGCAGCAGCAGTATGGCTGGGATTGCTGCCTGGGCTTTGTGCTTTAGATCTCAGAGGGTCACTTGTCTACTTTCTGAAATCTGTTTTTTTTTCCTTTTAAAAATAATAATTCATTTGGAGTAATTTTGCATCTGCAAGGCCACCTCCAATGCAGCTGTTTGATGCTGGGGACAGAAGACACCGCTGCTGCCCTCCAGGGCTGGAGCACCACCACCATGGGTGGGCTTTGCAGCTCTCCTCCCAGACAGCCCCAACTACTTACCCTCCTGGGCAGGGGAACACTGAATTACTCATAATGTCACTTTTCCTTGCCTGTGTCTTTTCTTCTTCTGTAATTTCAATGAAAGCTTCAAAATCAGGAGCTGGTTTTCACTGCGGTGTGTCCTTGGCACGTCCTCCTTCCCCTTCTCACACGCACCCCTCCCTGCACGCAATACAAGGAAATGTCGTCCCTTTTTCCTGGGGGAAAGGCTGAGTCATGGAGCCATTTTCTCAAGAAATGTGGATTATGAGACCTTCAGACCGCCTTCACTCCTGGGCTGAGCGAAGGGATGCCTTGTGCTGCCAAACCCTCGCCTGTGCTAACTCTGTGGTTGTGCCTCATCTGTGCTGTGTGCTCTCCTCTCTGAAGAGCACGGGGCAAATAATAAGCTGTTCTCTGGGGCTTTACTAGCTGTATGTGCTGGTAATGAAATCTCAGGTTATTTAAATACCCAGGGAAGAAAAATCTCATTTACTTCATCTTCTCCAGGACTTTCCTGCTTATGTTTCAGTCCTTGGTAGCAAAGCTGGGCCAACATGAGCCCTCACGCCACGCATGCGCTGGGGACTGCTGCTCCATCAGTCTCGGTGTGTGCTGAACCCCTGGTAATCCTCAGTTTGGTAGAGGCATGGATCCATACATTATACAAGGGGCAGCAGGATAGTTTATACTTTTCAACAGCATTTTCTATTTTTCTGAGGCCAAAATGAACCTTGGCACTGTTGGTGTTAGTCCGTGCCTCTTCCCTAACAGTTGCATCTTCCCTGGTAAAATATAAAACATGAATTTAAACGCGAGTGCGTCTCTATGGAGAGCAGCTCAGCACCGGTATGGATGGGGTGTATCACTGGTAGCTGGCTCAGGGGGCTTCCTCAGCCCAGGGACTGCATGAGCCCCAGCTGGAGGAAACCACCGTGTCTGTGGCACGATGCACGGAGGATGCAGTGAACTCAGTGGGTGCAGGCTGCATGGACCAGCGATGGCACATCAGCTGCACCAAAGGGGCAATAAACTCAGGTTAAAATGGAACAACTGCTGCTCTTAAAATATTTAAGAGAGTGCTCATAGAGGGAATTTTTTTTTTTAGTGTATCTTGATTTGCCTCTAAAAATCAATTTTGAAATTATTTGATGGCAACTTTTATGAACATTGTCTGCTCTTCTGTTAGATCACACCCTGCTTTGGTTTAAATCTTTCTCCCCTCATCCCATCTTGCTTTCCATCTGGCAAATGATTCAGCTGTAAAAGTTGCACCAGTCTGGCACAGCTGGAGGAAAATGGCTTTTTGCTTCAGCAGCCCACAGCTTTGTTTTGCGTAGGCCCTATAAAAACTGTGGTCCTGTCTTTAAATGTTTACAGGGAAGAGCTCTTCTGGAGAAGACCCTTCTCTGGCTCACTGGTGAATTAACACCCTATTTTCTTTCTTTTCAAAGCAGCTGCCTCCTCCTTTCTGATCTGTGCAAACACAGCGATGGAAAAACTCCCAGGGCAGGGCTGAGCCTTGCAGGGCCAAGATGCTGTGTCAGGGCAGCGCTGGGGGCACCAGGGCTGGCAGAAATGAAACGTCCCGGAGGGGAAAAAGCAGTTCCTGTTCTGTCTTGGATTTTTTTTTTTTTCCCCAAAAAAATGGGAACTGAACCCATTGTTGGTAACCTGCAGCCCAGCACTCACTGCCGGCCTCATCCCACCCTGTGCACCCAAGGCACCAGGCGCAGGTTTCCGTGATTAAATTGCATCTCTGCTTCCTGCAGCCACGATGCTCCGAATCCCAGAGCCCTGGAGGGGACCAGCCCCCAGGAGCAGCTCCACGCACTCCTTTGGGGGGATTTGTTATAATTAAAGAAAATATCTGGAGAATTTGTTGCTCAGCAGAGACTTTGAGTGGGAGGCACCGGGTCCTGCCCCATATTGAGGCTTCAGCAAGTGCTGGAGGCCCCAGGGGAAATTCATTTTTCTTTATTTTAATGTAATTAAAATTCCCTCCATGGCTAAGGCTGCTGCGTTGTAGCTTCTCGGTTGAAATGCTGCTCCTGTGCTGGATAAACAGGGTGTTCTCCTGGGCTCATTTCTGCATAGGAACCGTCCCCCATCAGATAGCACAATTCCCTTGCGGTGAATCTCCATCGGGAAAGGTTTTAAAAAGGAGATAAATAAGTGGTCTTGGCAGAGCTGGCCTGTGCTGGAGCAAGGAAGAGGTTTGGCAGTTAAATGCACTAACCTCCCTATCTTCCACCGGGCCTCCTCTTGGTTTAATTAAAAGAGCTTGGAGTTATCAGGCACATGAGGGAAATCAATGCTTTTTCCCACCCACCCCCACCCCCTGTAATAACTGTGCAGGCTGAGCTGTGATCTTGCCTCTCTGAGAGCCCCACTGCATTGTCCCCTGGGAGACTTTGATTCAATTGAGTGACTTTTTTTTTATTGATTGATTTCTTTTAATATTTTTTGTTTGTTTGTTTCTCTTTTCCCAGGCTTCCAAACCCAAGGTGAGTATCCCGCTGTCGGCCATCATCGAGGTCCGCACCACCATGCCACTGGAGATGCCCGACAAAGACAACACCTTCGTCCTAAAGGTGAGAGCAGGGCAGCAGCAGCAGCGCGTATCCCAACGGGAATCCCATCTGCACCCGCATCCAGCCCCTGCTGCAGAGATGCTTAGTCCCCAAGGGGATTGTCGCCTCCGATTTTGGAGCTGAGATGCCAACTGCCTCCCTTCCCTGTATTGTGCTGCCCCCCCCAACCTTCCCAAAATGATGCAACCTCCACCTGATGACCAGGTATTTGGGGATTGAGCTGTTTGCCTGGCTTTTACCATGGGGTTTTCCATGTCACCAGGAGACAGGTTAAATTAGTGTCCAGAGACAACCTGCAAGGGGAAATGCTCTTTGCTGTGTCTGCCTGTGGGTTTGTGACTGCTGCTGCCCTGAATCTGTGGCACGTGGTGGCCATTTCATGGACACCAGGAGATGGGAATGGCTGCGTGGGGCCTCCAAGGCTCTGGGGATCAACCACCCCACACGAGTCTGGGAGCACAAGCGGAGGGTGAAAGTCTCTTTCCAGAAAGAGTTTTCCATATCATACAATTAATTAGGTTAATGCTTCCTCCTGCTCTGCCAAAAGGCAGCAGCATGTCACAGCAGATCATGGCTGAATTTTACAGGGTCCCAGCTCAGGGGGCATTGTGCCACTGTGATGATGGACGTGTTGTTGGAAATGGCATTTCTCTCCAGTTAATGAGGCTGTGCCTCATGCTAGTGGATTTATGCTCTCCATCAGAGCTGCTGGACCTGCCTGGCTGGGAGGTAGCATGTGTATGTGGGGGGACACCAGCATCTTGAGGATTTCTTTGTCCTACCTCTGCTAAAAAAACACCTCTCTCTGATGCTTTTCCCTAAAAGCATGTGGCAAAGGCAGAGCAGAGAGGCCAGGCTTCCCAGCTGAATGAACCTGCTTAAAAGCTTAGAAAACTCTGAAAGCAGAGGAAGGAAAAAATTGAGCCTGGCTTCATGAAAGCCCCTGCACCTGGTATCCCGCCTGGCCCTAGCACACGTTCCTGTGGGAAATCACTCTCCAGTAAGCCCAGTTCCTTGTAAAGGTCCCACACCTTCTCCTGGCAGCCTCCTTCAGGGCATCCTCCCTGCCCCAAGGGCGTCGTGCTGTTCAGCCTCAACCTCAGCTGTGGTCAGTGTCCACCAGGGACATGGAGGCTGATTCAGCTGTTGTCTTCTGTGCCTCAAAGACCAACCCCATGCATCTTCTCTCCGGACTGACCAGCCCAAGGTTGTCCTCTCTTTGTTGCGGCCTCTGGAGAGAAAATACCCCAAAACATACATGGTGCCATGGCCAGGAGCAGATGGGAAGGATTGCTTCTCCTTTGATTGCTTCTCCTTTCTTCTTCCTCTTTATCCAGCCCAAGCTGATCCAGTTGCTTTCTACATACCAATGATGAAGTTGACTCATATGCAGCTTGTGGGCTGATGTAACCCCTCAGTGCTTTTTGCAGAACCGCTCTGGAGTCACAGTTCCCCAGCCCGGATGATCGGTGTGAGCCCAACACTCGCCCATGTCCTTGAGGTGGGGGCTGGCTTGGGCTTTTTCTTCCACTGAGCATTTCTCAGCTTTGACAAGTTCATTTGAATTCTCGCCTCATCCTCCAACACACTTGCAACATGGTGTCATCTGTGAATTGATTAGGCATCCTTGCTTTGCTTTTGTCCTAATCATGACTGAAGAGCAACACACACAGAGCCCTTGATGTGAAGGAGCTTCTGAGCATATCGCTCAGCTTTGATCGTTAGCCATCGATAACCCATTAACCATCGATAACTGCTCTTGGAATATGGCTCATCAGCTACTTCTGATCGTGTTTTCTAGATCCCCTTACAAGTCTCATCTCAACCATGTCTTGCTACCTTGCTTGCTGGAGTGTCACATCAGTGTCCGAAGTGTGGCCAACGCCAAGGATGTGACACTGTTTCTCCCTGTCCCTGGGGTTGTCCTGAGCATGAGCAGATGGGTTTGACAGGGTTTGGTCCTGGCAGATCCCTGCTGGGAGGATTCATGTCCGGGGTGCTTCCTTGGGTGCCTGTGGAAGGTTGGTTCCTCTGGCTACTGGAGAAGGATTGCCCTCTTCCCATCTCCTGCTCTCTACTTCCACCACTAACAGCTCTGTGTCTGCTTCAGCCATTTCTTTAATTACCCTGGGGAATGCTCCAAACCCTGTCGGTCTGAAAATGCCTGATTTATCAAGTACCCTCCTGCTCCTGCCCCATTCTGGCCAGGGCGCTTACCCTGCCATGGGGTTAATTAATTGCAATCGATCCTTTGAGCAAGCTGAGGCAGCGAACGCGGCACTGAGCCCATCTGCTCGCTCCCCATCTCCTGCTGCCCCTTTCCTGCCATTCCAGCCAGCCTTTGCCCTCCTCTCACGGGTGTTGGCACACGATGCTTTTCCCCTATTCCCGTCATTCTTTATTATTTGTAGCTCATTTTCTGGCCTGGCCCTTCTTGCTGGGACATCTTCCTGATGCTCTTTTGTTTCTCCCTTTGCTGGCTGGACTCACAGAGGGGGTGAGGCACCCCTTGGGGCACAGATTAGAGGGGTAAGAAAGGGGAGCTGGGTGCCATGGTTTCCCAGCAGCCTTCCCGTGTATGGGGCTGATGTGGAGCCCAGTCTCAACCTTCACATGCAACATGCTGCACTTTGGCAGGTTACAATGGGTGGAAAAGCCCTTGCCTTGTTTGGGGAGGCCACGCTGGAATACTTTCTGCCAAATTGCCTAAGAATTAGCCTGCGGCATGTCCCCACCACCCATCAGACACCAAGTACATGCATTTTTTTCCATTGCACAAGCAGGCACTTGCAAAATACCCAAGGCCTGCACGTGCTTCACTTGCTGTCATGCTCTGCGTGAGAGAGCAGCCCCATCTCCCACACTGGCTTCATGTATTGCCCGCAGAAAGCCAGAGAGGCTCCTTTGGTTAAACAAAATGGGGTGAGGGAGATCTTTGCTGCTTCCCTTCACCTCTACTCAGGGCAGGATCCATGTACAGCCTCAGGCTGCAGCAGGGAAGCAGGTTGCTGCTCGGCCCCAGCCCAGGCGCTGGGCACCGCTCCCTGCATGCCCTGCTTATTTTCAGGACAGTGATTCAGTTGTTTGTGATTAATTTAATTTGCTAGGAGGTTGTCTCAGCAGGCAATGCGATACCCTCCCGGAGTCAGGGCTGCTTCATCAGCTCGGGAACGGGATGTGCGAGGGGTCCGTGAGGGATGCGGGGAAGCCTGCCAGAGGCACGCGGCATCGCGTGGCGTGGCTTCTGAGACCCCCGGCTCTGCTGCTGAGGTGGGACTTCTGGGTCCTTCCCAGCCCTGGAAAGGCTCACCTCCTTTGGGCCTGCAATTTTGGAGGCTCTTTTGCATTTTTTTTTTTTTTTTTTTTTTTTCCTGTTCACGTGGGTTTCTCTCCCACGGTGTTGCAATCAGAAGCCTCATGGAGCAGCAGGCAGAAAGCCTAACAGAAGAGAGGTTTTAAACTCCTGGGTTTTGGGGCAGAGAGCAGCATGGCTTCTGCTCAACCTGTGCAGAGCTAGTTTTTGGGGGACACTGAGGCACCCCAGAAGTGAGGGATGTTGTCTGTGCTGGAGTGTGGTGCCATGCACCCCTGATGCCACCGGCCAGATGTGGCTTTGCCGTGGAGGCTGTAAAAACCTTGTGATGTGTTTGCTGATAATGGTGGGGTGGGGTTTTTCCTCTGAGCCCTGGCTTTGGTCAGGGGTCACCCTTGGGACACACCAAAGCATCTCTGTGGGTCACCTCTCGGCATGCCTTTGCTGGGATGTGGTGGGGCACTTACCGTCTCCCATTTAACCGAAGTGCTATGTAATAGCAGCAGGTGAACGTGGGGGTCCAGCTGGGTTACAGGGTGTGCTTTGCCTCAGGGCGGGTGGCAGGACCCTGGTGCAGCCTGACACTGTCCCACATTGCTTTCAGGTGGAGAACGGGGCCGAGTACATCCTGGAGACCATCGACTCCCTGCAGAAGCACTCCTGGGTGGCAGATATTCAGGACTGCATCGACCCTGGGTAAGGCTCGCTGGAGGAAGGTGCTGTGCAGGGACCAGGCTCACCACCGCTGTGATGCCCTCGCCACCGAGAATGTGTCATTACCTCAATGCAATTTTTGCTACTCAGGTTATTACAAAAAGTCCCTGACTCATGCCGGCAGAAGTCTGGAGGCAAAGTTAGCAGGATGTGTGTGTCAGAGGTGCAGCCTCACAGAGCAGTGGCTACTTACTTGCTTACCCTCTCCTGCTCCATGTTGCATCACCAGACAGAGGCAGGTGACCCAGAAACACAGCCCTCAATGTGGGAAGCTCCTAACACCCACCCTCTGAAGCTTTTATACTACATTTGAGCTATTTTCTATGCTTTTTTCCAGTCCATCCATGGTATATTTCAGATTCTGCTGGCTAGATAGATTTATGTTTCTATCATGGTGGTATTAATGCTGTCACTGGAGTCATAACTCTGCCAAAACTTCTCATCTGCATTTTCATCGGCCCATGCATTGAGTTACATTGTAGGGAGATTCATGTACCCGCTGCTGCCATTCAGCTGGCTCAGACAGGCCCAGTCCCGGGGAGGCAGCATCAGCCCAGGCACTCCCCAGGCTCTGGAAAAGTGCTGGTACTGCTCTTGGCACAGTTTTGGCAAAACAAGGTGCTTAAGCTTGGAACGGGAGCTTAGAGAGGCGCCAGCTGCCTCCGGGCTGCCTTTGCCCCCTTCTGCTGGAGAGGCAGTTTGGGCGCTGCAGGGTCAGTCACCATGGAGGCTGCATCGCATGGGGAGGATGCACTAGTGCACTCCAGGTCTGTGCTTCTTCAGCTCCTTTTACGGTTTTTTAAAATATATAATTCAAGAAGTGATGTTGAGACTGGGCTGCTGCTGGAAGAGAGGCTTGGAAATGGCCCTTTTTTCCCCACTGCCTGTTTCAGGGCTGGTTTTCCAGCCGGAGCCAACTGCTATGGCCATGCTCGCCTCAAGCCATTGCAGAAGCTGCCAGCAGCCCCACGCCAGCCCCTCGCTCTGCTGCCGGCAGCCTCCCAGCCTTTTATGTTTGCTTAGCACCCAGTGCAGTCCCGCTTTGGCCTCCGGACGTGACTGTAAAGCAAATAATAATGAACTCCAGAGCAAATAATAATGAGCTGTTTAATACACCGACACACATGCTTGGTGCCAAGAATGAATTTTCAATCAGCTCCTGATGCTTTTGCCAAGGGCTGTGCTCTGGAGCTGCTGCGTGAGCACCCGTCCACGGCTTTTCTGCAAAGCGCTGTTGGTTTTGGTTTCCTTCCTTCCTTCTTGTTTTTAACTGGCTGCAGCTGAATGACTCCCAGTGGCTGATTCACTTACTGGCCACTAAATAATTCAGCAGCTCCCTCGTGAGCCATGAGCTGTTACCACTAACGCAGCCGCTTCCTCGCTGCCTGTGCCCACGTGGCCACCATTAAGCAAGAGTAGCCGAGTGCTGCAGGCGGCTCTGGCAGTGCCAGGCTCTTGCTGGTGGCCAGGATAAAAATAGGCTGTGGAGCAAGTGGGGGGCTTGTGCAAGAAGGGTGCTGAAGTGCACGGGCAGAGGTTGGGCCGCAGGGATGCTCTCTGCAGGGACTAGGCTGCTGCAGGCCCCTCCTTGCTCTGTTCCTGCTCGCTGTCTCACTCTGGGCTTCCTGGTTTGTTTTTTTTGGTCTTTTAGGGATGTAATTTCCGTGGGTTGGTAATTCCCTTTGTGGAGGGTGAAAGGGAAAGCACCCTTGAGTAGAAGTGGGGGTGGGAGTGTGCGTGTGTGTGTATGTGTGCAAAGCAAAGTGCTGCAAGTTGAGGTAATAGATTTCCATCCAAACCAACAAGGTTGCAGCAAAATACTGCAGCTAGGACCGACCAGCATGACCCATACAGTGAGGGCTTTCAAGCATTTAATCCCTCCCACGCCAGTTTCTCACCCTGAAAAAGCCATGTTGTTTTGCCAGCCACTCTGCCTCTCAGTGCTGTGGGTGGGTGCATCCGTTGTGGCAGTCCCTCTGGGAGGGAGTGAGGAGCATTGGCATGTGGTGCCAGATCACAGCTGGAATTTCGTTTGGTCGAGTCCCCGTCACATGCCTGTGAGCGGAGGTGCCACGCGTGCGTGTCCCTGCAGCGTGGCAGCCGGCGTGTGACCGTCTGCTCCGTGCTCTTCCCCCAGGGACAGCGGGGATGACATCGAGCTGGCGTCCTGTGCGCAGGGAGCCTGTCTGCCGGGCAGGGTGTCCTCCTGCAGCTGCGAGTTCCTGGCTGATGGTAAGGACCTATGTCTGTGCAAAACACCTGCCAGGGAGGGTGGGAGTCTCTGGGTGCCAGTTCTGGTTTGGAGGGGGCCAGATCCTGCCAGCAATAAAGTTAAGGAGCCTGAAGCAGGTGCAAATCAAGTCCCTGGATGCAGGCACTGGATTCTCTGGGTCCCAGCAAGCAGGCTCCATCTGCACAGCCCCACTTCATCTCTATGCCCAACCAAGACGTGTGTGTGCCTCCCATCCCGGTCATGCCAGGGGAAGGAGACCCAGCACAGGCTGAAAGAAAGCCCACCAAGCCATGGTCAGAGCCATAACCTAGCCCTGAGATGTCTCCAGGAGCGCTCCAGTGCAGTTGCTTTCAGAGCAGGACAGCCCCCAGCTTTGTCCAGCAAAGGTAGGTAATGCTGAGCCACAAGCCCATCCCTCTACAAACTCCCTTCCAGATGTGCCCAGGCCACCAGACAGATGTGCCCTGCCCAGCGCTCACAACACCACCATGGCCACTGCTGTCCCTGTGCCCCACAGCCGGGGCAGGGACTCCTTGGGGGAGCTCCTCACCCACGTCCCACTGGAGAGCTTCCTGCAGACACTGGAGTCCTCCCCCACTGCAGGTGGGCATCTCGCAGGTACCGGGGTGCAGGATGGGGCCCCAGTGCCTCAGTCTTGGGGGTGCATGGAGGAGGAAGGGGTGGGAGAGGGTAATGTCTGGGTGCTCCCTAAAAACCTGTGATCCCTGTGGCCAGGAGAGGACAGCGAGGCGGAGGCAGAGATCAACCTCTCCGACTTCCCCTGGTTCCATGGGACACTCTCGCGGATCAAGGCGGCTCAGCTGGTGCTCTTTGGGGGTGTCCGGAGCCATGGCTTGTTTGTAATTCGGCAGAGCGAAACGCGGCCAGGGGAATATGTTCTGACCTTCAACTTCCAGGGGAAAGCAAAGGTGGGTGTTCTCTGCTTCTCCCTGAACATTAGTGCCACCTCTGCCTGTCACCCTGGGCTCCTTCCCACCCCACTGGGGCTCTGCATGCAAGTGGGTGCCATGTGGTGACCCCAAACATGGCAGCTTATCCTTCAGGACCACCTTGTCCCCCAAGAGCCCTCTGCACCCCGCCCAGCCCCTTCAGCACTTTCCTAGCTGGATCAGTGCCTGCCACATATGCAATGAAGTTAAATTCCCCACAGGAGCCCAGTGTAACCTGGCACATCATCCCCTGCCCTCTTCTTGTCCACTCCATGTCCTGAAGTACATAGATGCAAAAATAACCCACATGTAGTTCTCTGCTAGATCGCTTTTCTGCCAGAGCACACACGCTGTGAGAGGTCAAGATTTAACTGCCTGGTCTTGTCACCTGTCCTGCAAGAAGTAGTTCAGGTGGGCTGTGGCTTCCCCAGGTTGTGTCACCCGGATTGGAGCTGCAGCCCCCTCAGCTGCACCCAGCTGCCCTTCTCTGGCTGTTTCTGTACCGTGTTCATCACCAGGAGAGGACAAACTTCTCCTGGGGCTGCAGTGAGTGGGGTTTTTCAGGAAACATCCTGCAGCAGGAGACCCTCCCATCCTGGCAGGATAAAAATAACATACATTAGGAGCAAACCTCCCGTGGTTGATGGAAGTGGTTCCTCTTGCTGATTGCAAGGATGAATCTCACCTTTGCAATCCCCGGCTCATCCCCTGGCCTCCTGTGCTTGCAGCACCTCCGCCTGTCGCTGAATGAGAGCGGGCAGTGCCACGTCCAGCACCTCTGGTTCCAGACCATCTTCGACATGCTGCGCCACTTCCACACGCACCCCATCCCCCTCGAGTCGGGCGGTGCGGCCGACATCACCCTCCGCAGCTACGTCGTCGCCCAGAGCCCACTGCCTGGTAGGTGCCAGGGCCGGGCAAGGGGCCCAGCTGCCTGTGGAGGGTTGGACTGGTGGTTGGGCTGGGATCTTTCCATGGACCTAAAAGGGACTGATCCCTGGGATTCCCCCACCGACCCCCTCCCTAAAGCTGCGCCCGTGACGGTGTGCGTGGCTCTGGAGATGCACCAAGGTGGGCGTTATCCCATTGAAGGTCGGCGGGGAGGATCATGCAGGACTGTGCCAGGGTGACCCGTGTTTCCCTGGCTGTGGTGTCTGTCCCCTGGCTCGGGCAGAAGAGAGGTCTGCAGGGCTTGGAGCAGTCTGCTATGGTGGGAGAGGGTGGGCAAGGTGGGTGGGGGAAGGATAGGGTCAGGGATGGAGAGGGCAAACAAGGGAAAGAGTGAGCATGGGATGGTGTCAGTGAAGGGGGGGCGGGGGGCGAGCCCCCAGGCAGCATTGGAGGGGTCAAGCTCCTGTCTCCCTTGCAGACGCCGGCCCCCCGCCAGCCCTTGTGTCGCAGCCTCCAGGCTGCCGGGTCGACCTGCCACCACCGCACTACTTCTGCAGCACAGCACCCGCCGGCCCGCCGGCCCCACTGCCCGCCGAAGGGGTGGCCGTGGCCCCCAGTGTCACTGTCCCTGCACCCTATCACCGCCTGGAGGGTGCCCTGGGCCCCCGGAGCCGCAGTGACAGTGCTGAGCGCCGGCCAGAGCCCCCTGCCGCCACTGCCGAGGACTACCACGAGGCTGACGGTGCCCGGAGCCGGACCCGGGCGGTGGAAAATCAATACTCCTTCTACTGAGCCCCCCGTGTCTGGGGGCTGGATGGTGGGGGGATGCAGGGCACCCATGCCCCTCACCACTGCGCCAGCCTCGCCACCTCCTCCTGCCACCACCAGCAACCCAGCTGGGATGTCCTTCTTGCTCCCTGCCACTTTCAGGAGCCATGTCAGTGGCAGGTGATGTCCTGGCTGGACCCGGTGCCAGCCCCGAGGTTGGGGCAGTGCTGGGGGTTTGGGAGGCTGGAAGCATCAGTGCCATTTTGGAGCTTGCAGCCTGTTCTCTTTCCCTCCGGACCAAGAGCTCTCCCGGGGCCAAGCCACGCTCCCTGTATCTCCTCCTGGGGATGCCCATCGTGGGATGGCAGCCCAAAGCCATGATGGGCTCCATCCTTCAGCCAAAGCACCTCAGCACGTCCCCTCTGGGGTGAGAGCCCAGCATGGCCAACAGCTCTTCTGGCACCATTGCCCTGCAGACCAGCTGCCATGGGGCTCTGGGGTTTTGGGATGACTGAAAATGGCAGATCCCCATGCAGAGGCTTTTCTTGCACACACAGATCTGTGCACCCGAGAGGGAACCACTGCAGAGGCATGAGGGTTTATCTAGGCTGGCTTTCAGGCTCCCTCTGGGGCACACATTTCCCAAAAGGTTTTTTTCCAAAGTTTAATGAATTGCATTCAGGGAAGGTTTTTCCTGCTGTCTGGCCGTTTCTGTTCCTCTGTCCTTTCTCTCCTTGCTGTACCTACAGAGAGTCTGTGGATAAACCCTTTCTTCCTCTCTCTCTTCCTTGCTTTTTCAAAACCTAAGCTTTCTGCAAGGGCATCAGCTCAGCCTTCTGCCTTCTCTCTATCGCAGCCAGGCAGTATTTTCCATTGCTCAAGGCAAACATTGAAAAATACGACAACGCTTCCGCTTTGCATCAGTTGTTACTCATTCGGGATGTCTTGGGGCAGGAGCAGGGGGGGTGGTGGTCAGAGAGAGGCCAGGGGCTGTGTCTGAAGGTGAGGGGCAGCCTCACCCTGCAGGTGCTTGGCTGGGCTCTGGGGAATGAAAACACTACACATCTTCAGTAGATACTATTGAGGGTTATTTTTTTCCTGAGAAAAATAGAAATGCCCAGGAAGAGCAAAAGGAATGGGGCTGCCACCAGGTGGGTGAACAGCCAGCTGCTGCAGAGGGGCTGGCCCAGGCTGACTGCAGCGATAGGCAGCATTTCCCTCACCTATGGCTGAAATCTCTCCCCAGCAAAGGTAAAACCCTGCCAGCGATGGTTGTAGCAGCACTGCTGCTGGGAAGGACCAGGAACTGCAGTGGTCACTGCTTCTTGGTGGCTTTCTGATAGACCAGTGCAACCACATGTATCTGCTGCAGAAAAAGGAGGTTCCCTGTCAGAGGTGAGCCCTGGGAGAGAGTGTAGAGCAGAAACCTGCTGTGGCCAGGTATGCACAATTTTGTCGATGCTTTTCTACAGGTCACTGAAGCCCTTAGGGTGGTTTTACAGGCCAGGCTGTTTACCAGGATTGTGTGCCTCCTGTGGGGTGGGAAACCCTCTGAAAGGGCAGCTTTGCTTGCAGACAGTGCTTGCACATCCCTCCTTGTTTGCCTCACACAGCTTTTTCTTCCCCATCACCAGGACTCCTGGCTCTTCCTGTGGCTGCCAGGCCTGGGTGAAGTCTAGCAGGACCTTAGCGAGGTGGCTTTGAAGTGTCTGGATAGGTCTCTAGGTAGAGCAGGCCCCATCCTGCTAGATGTTACCACTTATTGCAAAGAGAGGTATGAGCTAAGCCACAATCTAGCTCAAAACCTCTTGAATTTGCCTGGAGTTTTGGGTCAGGTCAAATTTTTTTTTAGGTGCCTTCTTTCCTAAGCTAGCAAAGCATGTTTCCAGCCCTGGAGTTGTTTGTCCCTCCCACTTGAAGAGGGCAGGGAGGGTGTCTCCAAGGCTCTTTGCCTCTTACCGCAATGTGAAAGCTGCCTTTCTGGCCCATGAGTGTGTGAGACAAGAGCTGGTAGATCTCATTCCTGCAGCAAATGCCATCTTCTCCCCAAACACATGGCCCTTCAAACAGCAGCAGGAGCGGTTTGCTCTGGTGGGGGTATTTCTCCTTCCCCAGCACAGCTAAAATCCAGCTCGGAGGAGTTCATGCAGCCAGGAGAGGCAAGATGGTCTTGCTGCCTGGGTTTGACATGAGCCTGCTTCCTTCACGCACACAGTGAACGAGGGGGGACCTCCAGATGTGGCACAGACATTGTCATTCTTGTTCTTCACTGAGGTCCCAACAGGCTGGGTGGTTGTGATGGGAGCACTGCCTTACAGACCTTCAGATGTTGGCTGATGTTTCACCTTCTGTGTCACAGGATAAGAAAAGGAGGGGGAAGCAATGATCTGCAAGCAAAAATGTTAATTTGTAAATAGGGAAGAGTCTGGAAGAGTTTACTGTTCTGTAGAATAAATTAATTTTATTTAAAAAAAAATACTTGTTAAACAAATGGAGAACTCGTGTTCCAGTTTTAAAATAAAATCACTTGCAAAAAGGACAGCGCATGAGCTTGGGGCTTTGTTAGATTTGCTACATTAAAAAAAGAAAAAATAGAGGGAGGATGCTCTCCTGCTGCATGTGTGTAGACCTTGTTGCTATCTTGAGGCAGTTGGGGCTGGGCTCAGACTGCCTCTGCCCAGTGGAGTGCACTGAGGGGTTTATTTCTCACTATGGAGCAGAGGGAGGTGGAGGACAGAACCAGGCTGCACAGGGCAGGGTTTCCTCTCCTCCCAGTCTGTTATTTTCTTTGTCTGGTTTGTCACTGATGCAAGTCAGAATGCCTCCACCCCTGAAGCAGTGCAAGGAATAGTGAGTTAGCAGCCCTGGGGCGTGAAGATGGACCTCCCTTGCCAAAGGCCTGTGCTACCATCTCCTAGCAGCCAAGTTCTCTGTAGCGTGTCATTCCCACCTCCCATGCCGTCGTCTCGCCTGGGAGGCAGTGCCTCACGCTCTGCCATTGTATGTCTTTCTAGTGTGCTCTCTTCTGCTGAGGATCCCCCGGGAAAACTGGTACGTTGTCCCAGACTGCGCTGTCACAGCTAAGCAGCGTGACAGACACGGCTTCCAGACGCAGCTAACACATGGCTTTTGGGGGGGTGGAGGGAGCAGCTCAGCTCTGTAATCAGGCCACAGTTGTGCCATGATCCATTCACAACAACATTCCCTCCCCAAAAGTCTCCAGAGCCTGTTCACTGGTCCTGGAGAGCGCTTCCATCAGGAGCTGGGCAGCTGGGGAGGCGACAGCCCCTCCGCACGGGCTCCTCCTTCGCTGCCCCAAAGGCAGGCACTGAGGGCTGTGCCTGTGGGACAGCTGCTCCTCCTGCCTCGCCATAAGCTGTTCACACCTCAGCTTATTAGCAAATTGACTAATTACAGCATCAGTTTTGCTGGAAAATATGCTTTCCATTCTTTTCACAGGGTTCCTCAGAGGGCAGGGGCGGGATGCAACAGCCTTGTACATCAAACACTGAGATCTAGTGGTGAGCTAAGAGGAAGCAGCCTCGGCATGTGAGCAAGGCTGGATTTCCCTGCCAGTGATACCCTCTGCCCGGGGATGGGGCAGCAGTGGTCTGTGGGGATGCTGGCACAGAGCAGCAGCCTGGCAGATACTATAAAGAGGGCAAAAACGTGATGGGATTTCAGCAGCACAGTCTCCTACGTTCCACACGGGTGTTTGAGCTGTCCACGGCTGCTCCCGCCTGCCACACAGGGTCTTTCTCAGCAAAGGCTTACAGTGCTTCCAGAAGGATCCCTTTGGTAGGAACCCTCAGGGTGCCTTTGCTCTAAACACAAATGAGCTTCTTTGATACGGATCAGGGAGCAAAATTTTGTTGTTTGGTTTGCACTGAACTATGAAAACACTTCCCTGTTCTAATGCGAATCCCCTGTTCCCAGTAAGCCCAGTTCTGCCCAGATCCCAGCCCAGCAATCTGTTTCGTGGGCTTTGTATTTTTTAATGGCATGATGTAATACTTTCTATTTTTGTATGACCCAAGGAATAGTCTTGGACCCTCTCCCCAGATAAATATATTTTAAAAGTAATACGTGCATAATACATCAAGAGTCTACACCAATTCCCTAGACATGTAGTTTGAGAGGGAGATGTTCCCATGTCTCTTTCCCTGTGCTGTTTGCGTGGGCTCTGTTGGATGACAGGCAACTGCCTGTTGTTTCCCAGGGCTGTGAGTTGTCACTGACACAGGCCACACTTCGGGAAAGAGAATCAAGCTGCCCAGCTGCTCCCCACAGCCCTCGGGCTGTCACAATGTCTGTGGCTTGGCTGCCATTCTGCTTTCCTCCCATGGGGACTGGCATGAGAGGGCTGAGGCCTGACAGCTCATCACTCATACCCCCAATTTTGGAAGCAGTGTTTTAGAGAGGTGGCCATGACAGCAAGGAGGAAGAAAAAGGGCAACACCTTACAGGCTAGGGAGCTAAACTGGCCTGTGTTGTGCTCAAGACTCAGCAGAGCAGAGGGGAGAAGAAACTTAATCTGTTTGCAGCAACTTTGCTTCTAAAACCCATTCTGCAGTGACTGAGAGAGCTGAGGAGGACCCAAGGCTTGGAGAGCCGTGGGCACAGGCGCTCGTGAGCTGGCAGACAGCATGGGGAAAACTGTTTGCATTGCTCCAGCCAGGGCTACGACTGCGAGGATGCCTTCCAGGGCCAGCGCAGCCAGCTGGGAACTCAGCCAACACTAAATTCACACCATTCTTTTACAAATCAGGTTGGTAAGACAAACACGAAGCATAAACTAGTGTAATTTCCATAGCAACCTCAGTAGAGGTTGAAAAGTCTTTTGTAAACATAGGGCTGAACCTGAGGATCAGCTCTGATTTTCTTCATGGAAAAGGGAAGAGCATGGGGGCTTGATAGTCATTCAAATGACCCACAAATCTCAAAAGGAGCCATTCCCAACCTCTCTGTTCCCCTTTCTGTCTGTTCCCCTTTCTGTCACCCACTCCACATGCACAGCACGAAGCTGTCTGAAACCCAGAGCCCAACTTCACCGCTCCAGCTTATCTCCATAAACTGCACAAAGGCTTATGTCCCTCTTCCATCGCAGCTGACCTTTACTAGCTAATTCTCTGACGCACGCACAGCCCGAGCACATGCCATGCCATTTCTGTAGGGCCACAGCAGCTTGACAAGAAATTTGGCTTGCAGAGGAAGCCTGTATCACAGCCAGCTCCGGCTCCTTTTCCCCACTCACAGCTTTCTCCGTCCCTGTCAGACAAGCATGGAGCTGGGCGTACGGGCCCTCAGCTCGTCCAGGGCTGTTCCTGCAAAGACTAGGAGAGAATGTAGACAGTGCAGCATTCCCTCCCTGCATCTCCAGCACCCGGCAAGGCCGCGCCGTGGAGAATCGCGCTGCTGTTCATCACTGTCAACGGACAAAGCCTGCGGGCAGCACAGGCAGCGCCGGTTAATTAGCAAAGTGACACGAACAGATGGTGCAGGCAGCCTGCCGGGGAGGCACTAGGAAGTCCCGTATCGCTTACACCGTCACGGGGAAGGGATTTGGCAGGTCTGAGGGTGCCAGAGCGAAATGCACTGAATTTTCACCCTCCTCGGGTCTCTGCTAAGCCCAGAGTGCGGCAGACGCCGGAGCTGCCTCGCTAACGGGTCCCGCGGGGGACGGACTGCACTCGCTGCAGCCGGGAGAACGTGCCTGGGGGGACGGGGGGGATCAGAGCTCCAGCAAACGCAGCTCTGGGGGGCAGCGGCCCCGCGGCTGCAGCT